TCGATAATTCGATAAACTTAAGATACATCTATAAATTTCGATAATTCGGTTAATTTTAATAGCTCCATCCTTTTTCAAAGCTATTGACAAATTTCGATAACTCGTAGCATTTTGGTATAACTCGATATAATTCGATAAGCAGCGATAACTCGATAGACTTACATACTATATAACCTCGAAATTTCGATAACTCTATAATTTTAAAAATTCCAAAAACTCCGATTCGATAAGTCGAAAAATTTCAGTAAATCAATAAATATCGATAACTCGATAAGTTAAAAGAACTCGATGTATTTCGAAAACTCGATCAATTTTGTTAACTAAACAAATAATGACAGTTCAATAATATCGATAACTTCGTAAATTTCACTAACTTGACAAATTTCGATAATATCATAAATTTTTATGGCTCTATAATTATCCATAAATTTCGACAACTAAGTTTCTGTGTCTATAAATATCGACAACTCAATAAACATTGATCAATTTCAGTAATCAGGTACGTTGAGATAACTCAATAAAAATTCATAACTCGATAAATTTCAATAACTATAAACTTCGATGACTCGGTAAATTTCAGTAACTTGATAACTTTCGATAACTAAATTTTTTATGGCTGAATTTACTTCGATTCTTCTCGAAAAATTTCAATACATTTTCTTACCTTTCAGTTACCCTAATTCTTATGTATTTCTCATTGTTTTCATTTTCGCCTTTATCTTCAACTTTTCCTTCATTATTTTATCTTAATCGTTTTAATAAGTTATTTCTTCATTATCACACAAATTTAAAATACAAAGTAAAACAAAATGCGGAAACAACTCAAATTGAACATCCATAACAAATACGGAAATTTTTAACCGACGATTTTGGGCGTAACCAATTTTGGGTTCAACCAATTTTGATCTTCCTTCAATCTTTATCTTCCTTATTGGTTTTGAAATCGGTGGGGTAGAATTGCAAAATGAACGGTGACAAAATTTATGTTAGCATACTAAAATAGTTTTTTATAAATATTTGAGATTACCGCTTATTGGATTACACAATTGCATATTGAGCCTGTAAGCTACTACGCTGTTAAAACTTTTCAAATTTTAATTGCAAATTTTCAGTAAGTGCATGCCTCTAGATATTATGTCTCATCTCTAAGTTATTGTTGAGAATTTTTTATCATCCCCTATTTCCCGAAATCTTGTCTCCACCACTGCATAGATATAGATTTTATGGACCACTAGTCACAGTTTTCATACCCATAACAAATAAATATGACATTTGAGCTTGACTAATACATTTTTAAAAACTTTACCGTACAAACGGGGCGAGGAAAAAATTAAAAAAAATATTTTCACATACAAATTTTTTGATAAAAAAAAATAGATTTTGAAAATATACCATCTCAAAAAAAATTAAAAAAAAATCTCAATGGGAGCTCTGAGTATTGCGCAATATTTAAGCGTAGTATTATGGAGTGCATTCTAGAATAATTTGAGTTATGAATTGTTTTCTACGACGAAGTTGAGTAAAATAAGTATATTAAAAATTTAAAAATTTGCTCAATTTTATTTTTAGAATTTTTTTGAATATGCAGTTTTGTAGCTCATTTAATTTTAGTATAACAAAGTGCAAGTTTTAACCGATTGCAAAACCGGCGTTAATTTTTTTACTCTTAAAACGGTTTTGCTCATTTTCTTCCATAAGAAAAAAGTGCAAAAAGCCGTCAGCATAAAATATATTAAAAATCAACGCAATTTCGCAGTAGCTTAAATTTTGCACTAAATTTTAAGGGGTTCAAGGCTGCATACTCAAGAAAGAAATCTAAAAAAATTTTAAAAATTTATAAATTTGTAATATATCTGTGTTCATATGGAAAAGTAGCTTATGTCGAAAGGCTGGCTTTAGTATAAATCGGCATTCGCAGCATACGATTGCCAATGACTCACTGGCGCTAAGCCGTTGAACAACTTTTGGCAAATAAACGTGGAAGAAATAGTTCCGATACTAGCAAGTCAATATTCTTATTAAGTCTCATCAAACAATTTCTTTGCCGTTTAAAAGTAAAGGGATTGCCGCATTATACTAAAGCCAGCCTTTCGACATAAGCTACTTTTCCATATGAACACAGATATGTATGAACTCATTTTACTCAACTTCGGTGTAAAAAATTCATAACTCAAATTATTGTAGAGTGCACCCCATAATACTATACTTAAGTATTGCGCAATACTCAGAGCCACCATTGTGATTTTTTTTTATTTTTTTTTGAGAAGGCATATTTTCAAAAACTATATTGTTTATCAAAAAATTTGTATGTGAAAAATTTTTCAAGAAAAAAAAATTTAAATATTTGTTTTCATAATTTTTTTCAAATTTTTTCCTCGCCCTGTTCTCGAGATATTTGGAAAACTATTAAGTCGATTTGTTTTTGTATTCGTGTGGTAAAGTTTTTTAAAAAGGTATTAATCAAGCTCAAATTTCATATTTATTTATTATTTATGTTTATGCATCAACCCTATAAATTTGAAACAAATCCAACACATAAAGTGTGAACCCCGTCCGTTTTGGTATGGAACGCCCCATATACAAATATAAGTATGTATATTTTTTTTTTTAAACTTACTTACATCTAAGTAACTATGTACGCACATATGTATGTATGAAAAGAGACTTTAGTTGATTCAATTGTTCGATATCTATACATATTTTATCGCGCTCTTGGCTTACTAGCGCGTTTGTCGTGGAAATTGCCAACACAAGTTGGCAATGTAATTTATGATTGTAAACGGAAATGATGAAAATTTGCAACGCTGGCTTGTGCTAACAAAAAAAAAGTAAAAAGATAAAAGATATTCACCATCAAATAAGCCGGGATAACTAATGATGTGCACTTTGTAGGAAAATCAGTGCTGTTAACTTTTGCAAAATTTTGCATTTGTTGCTTCCATCATTGCAATCGCAGACAGTGCAGGACGATTCTCCTTTTACTATATCAAATAATTAATAAAAATATTCGAAGCAATGAAGACAACATTTTGTTCATACTAATGATCTCTTACGTTTTTGCATTGCATTTGGTTCAGATGTATTGAGAATGGATCAACAATATTTATTCGCTATACCTAAACTTTGAACCAGTTTAATTTAAAGGAAGATTGCTTTTCTTTTCTCATACTTAAGTACAAGCACCATAGATGGATTCAGTTTATTCCCAAGCCATTGTTGAGCTCATAATATTTTGGTAATTTAACCTATCTATCGCACAATTCTCAAAATAATTTGTTCCAAACTAAGTTGCTTAGCCCACAGTTTCTATCAAATTTCACTTTCCGAAAGAGTAACTTTGAAGAAGTGTTCAATCCGCTTCCAAGAAGGTATGCTAGAGCTCAGTACATAGCAGGGACAATTTTTACAAAGCCAACAATATAACGAGCCTTGAAGTCCTTCTCGCTTTATAAAAGCCCGCATCAAAGACGGCATCATGTTGCAAACTGTGGAAGATGCTATCGTGTCCTCGCTTTTGTCAATTTTCAAAGCATGCATTGCTTTTAACTACGTCCCTTTGTCGTGGAGGCGAGGGCATGCATACACTAAAAATGTTCGACCAATTAGCTTGACTTCCTTTGTTCTCAAAACCTTCGAGAGGGCTCTAGATGCGAACGTCCGGGCTTTAAGCGGTATACTTTGCCAGCTTTCCTCGAAATCGGAGGAGCCTTTCACAATGTTCGGGTAGAAGCTATCCAAAAATCCCTGGACGAGCTTGGCGTCGAGGAATAAGCGCATGGTTAATGGCGATGCTTAGAAGCAGAACGATTTTAGCTAAACTTAGAAGCTTTACACTAATAAGGAACATTGGTAGGCGCACTCCTCAAGGTGAAGTGATCTCTCCAATTTTTTGGCACCATATACTCAGAACTACTCAAGCTCAACCAGGGGAAGTATGAGCAGTAGCCTACGCTGACGATGTATTGATTTTAGTAACTGGGTTATTTCCATCTGTGGTGAGTAATATCATGGGTGGAATTTTAGCAGAGCTATGCCGATGAGCAAAGTGGTCTTTGAGTTAACACAGAGAAAATAAAGCTAATGATCTTTACGGCCATGAATAAGGTTCCTGGCTTTGATTACATACGACCGACCCGAAGTAGAATTTCACAGATCTTTCGGGCTCATTATTCCATCGGGGGCTGACTGGGACGGGCAGTTTGATATCTCTACCTGGATACATCATCTGTACACCGATGGCTCCAAAATGGAACGCGGAGTTGGAGAAGGCGTTTACCCTGAAATAAGTTAAGGCGCGCGTAGCTATTTTCTCAGATAGCCGGGCGGCTTTTGAGCCTTTGGCATCTTTTATAACAAGGTCGAAACTAATCAAGGAGTGTACGCTGCTTTTAAATTCAGTAAGCTCGATCAGGATTTAGTTTGGGTCCGTGGTCATCGCAACATTCCCAGAAACGTGTGAAGATTGACTAACCGCAATTATTCGAATAGTTACAGTTTTTCAACACAAAATTATTGTTATTAGCATGGTTGGGTTTTGTCAATAGGCATAAGTATACAAAAAATATAAAAGAGCAATGTTTACGGAAAGAAAACAACTAGTCGAAACAACTTTTTATATTCGACTAATCGATTAGTCGTACTAGTCTACTAACAAGAGCTCTATTCATTTTCCCCCAAGCGGTTCAGCTTTCACTTACAGGCGAATGAAACACTTTCGGGTGAATTTTTTTCGGACGAAACTCAGGATAAGGCAAATCATCTTTGAAATATTTTTCATATTTGTATAAAAAAGAGGAGTTAAACTTGCGAGTATAAGCTAGTAAACAGCGAAGAAGATTATAAAGGCTTTATAAATCGAGAATTTGTATGAAAATATCACTTTATAAAGCTCTTTAAATCTACTTTAGGTTTTATGATTCAGGCCATAAGTATGTATGTATTTATGTAAGTAGATGTTTGTACAATTTACTGTAAATACTTTACTGTACATTAACACTTACCCGGAACTGACCAGAATGCTCGAATTTATGAAAGTCTGGCTCCAATTCAAGTGCTTCTTCGAGATTTTGCAAAAATTGTCTTTGGAATGTGACAATTTCGTGAATGTTACCAAAGAGTGCATTTATTTCAGCATTCGATAGGAATGTCTCTCGTTTCATTGGCTCCAAGTAATGCTCCAGTAGATTGTTCAAATGCTGCAAAAATAAGGAAAATGTGAGTAAATTCAGCGCATTTTATTGCATCGAGTTTTGTATGTATCTACATTAGGGTTATCCAAGTAAAATCCGAATTTTAATGCATTCAACCCCTATTTTTTATTTTGAAATAAAAAAATATTTAATGGTTGCTCAAAGCGCTAAAAGTTTTCCACGTATTTTATATGGGTATAAACAACTTTTCGTAGAAATGGTATAGAATCCTTGAAAGTCAATATTTTTCCGGTTCTCTTCGGAAGGCTTCCAATAACAACACCCAATTGTTTATTTAACCATTTCTTAATACTAAAGATTTTTTATTGATCCCCCCATTGCATTTTCTGTGGTTTTTGGGGGACCTATAAAACATGGCTAATAAAACAAAAGGTTAAATAAACAATCGAGTATTATTATTGGGAGTCTCCTGAAGAGAAGCAGAGTTTTCCGATCGAACAATATTGTTTTCAAGTATTCTATACCATTTCTACAAAATGTGTTTTTTCACCCACATGAAATGCATACAAAACGTTGAGCGCTTTGAGCGACCTCTACAAATTTTTTGATTCAAAAAAATAGGGGTATAAAAAGTCCGACTTTACTTTTTCACATGCATTTTTGGACCACCCTAATCTACATATATATATTATATGTTTGCATGTATACATGGACAGAGGGCCATTCAGTTATTACCTAAGCCAAGTATTAGCTAATTTTAATTCCAAAAGATCTTTATACCGTTTTTACAAATCAGGTCAGTTTCCCAAGATATTTTAATTTTTATGCAAAAAGTTCTAACTTTAAGAAGGAAGAAATTATACATGTGACACCTTTCTTGTATTTTTTTTTCATTTGTATTTAATCCTGTTCTGTTGCCAAAAAAATTTAAGTTACTAAAGATGAAAATCGGTGGACAAATAAACCACCTTTGAGAGGTCAAATAAAAAAATGTGTGGTAATGTTTAGTATGAAAAAGTAGCAAGGAATAATGTTACTAATAGCTAATGTGACCAACTATTTCATAGCTCAAAGAAATACAGCTTACGCTGGGTTAGGTTAACGCCGCGAACCGATTACCAAATTTCGAATGTGGCTAATTTCGATCCCTGCGAGCTCAGTGTAAGTTCAGAAGAGCGAGTCTAAAATCCTTGAACCATAACCCCCGAAAGTTGGACAGTCTAAAAAAAAAAGTAGGGATAATTCCACTTCATCTTCCTCTTGATAGCTGATACAAAAGGGATCAATTGAAATTCCAAGCCTTACTGAGTGAATATCAATCGCACAATGGCCTGTCAGAACTCCGCTCACTAGTTCTTGAGAGGTAACGTGGTATTCGGCGCCCTTAAGGCGTAACGATGGGTCCCTCATTACTTGCACTGCAAAAAGAACTTTAAAGCGGAGAAACGTCTTCTTTTCCTCGTCTATGTCACAAACGGAGCATCGCTTTCTTTTGTCCATTTTATTAGGTATTTAGTAAGGAAGTACGGAATTTCATTATTGCGAGTACGAAATATGCCCTAGCCAAGTTCCCACTAGGCCCCACCATCCAAGAGTGTACCGCAGGAGGACAGAGGCGTCCTTAGTTGGTCCTTATCTGGGGATAACGTTTTAAGGGTGCCTTTCCAACGCCAGGTCGTCGGCCACGCAGTTTTCCGCGACGTCACTGTGACCGTGCACCTAAACTAGACGAAGTACGTAAGAGTACTCTGACGCGATGGATAAAGAAGTCAGTTATTCCTTTACCGATTTCTAATGCAACATCACACCCTTTTGTAGTGAGTCTACCGCTTCCTTGGTGGCAGCTATTTCTTCCTGAAAGACATTGCAGAAGTCCGGAAGACTTAGTAATCCCGCTGTACACAGGCGCTGTAATCTATGTGTTTAGGGCGAAGTCAAAGCCCCCCAGAACTTCAGAGTGTTACCATCCGTTTTCTCTTAGCCTAATAGCTCCACTAATTCTAGTTTTGAAAGTGTAGCTTTCTCTAGCGGGTTCCACCAGACAAGGGCTACGTGAAGATAAGCTTAAATCTGGTTCCATAGAGCTAATGAATTACTTTGGGCGAGAGACCTTACCTTTTGCCGATAGTTCCCCTACAGCAGTACAAGACAACCGATTCCTTGTTTACCCTTTCCTTACTGTTAGGCAGCGACAGCTTCCTATCCAGGATCAAGCCTAAGTACTTGACCCTGTCTGAGAGCCGCAGACGAACACCTCCACTCGAGAGAAGGGCTACAACGGGTATCTTGTACATCCTGGTAAACAAGACCAGTTCTACGAGGCCGCCGTTGATTGCCCACCTAGATATCTCCTTCAGGTAACCTTGAGGCAGAAAAAAGGGTGTTTAGAAATCGTCCCTTAACCAACAGATTCACATAATCTACATAGGCGATGCCAACATTCCACTTTTTGCAGTTCCTCTAGAAGGTCGTGCAGAGCAGGGGAGGGAGAATATTACCTGGCGGAGTGCCTCTAATGTCTCTGCGCTGAGTACAGGCGCTCCTCCACCCCGCCGCGACAGTTATGTCACGAAGTAAGCCTTATTAGGTTGGTTTCAACCCCCAGATTATGAATAGACTTGAATATTGCCTCTGGAGTGACATTTTTGAAGGCCCCCTCGATACAGAGGAAGTGCGTGAAGGCTTCTTCTAACCACTTTAGCAATGCATGCAGGGCGGTTCTTAAAAGATAGTCATATACAGGTCTCTCTAGCGGTTTTGTCAAAAACGAAAATAGACTGATAGGCCTAAAACTCTTGGAGAAGCATTAGAGCCTTTTTCGGCCTTCGCGATGAACGCAAGCCATAGGGATGGACCCTGTCCTCACGCAGTTCGCAGGTATGATGCCATCGGTCCTCGGCGACATTAATGGTTTGAACGAATTTAGCGCCCAGGCCATGTGGCGATCGTCCAGCAGATTGGATAACTACAGGACTTGAAGTACAAAATATTGCAAAGAAGTGCATTTGACTGTACTTCGAAGTACGAAGTACAAGAGCTAAAAAAGAAGTATAGTACTTCCGAAAGAAGTACGGTTATTCACATTAATAATAGCCGTACTCAAACATAGTCGTACATTTCGTATGAAAATCCAGAAAAATGATTCAAATCGGTTTAACCGATCTCGAGTTTTGATGACCGTGACAAACGAAAACAACATTTTAATATATATAGATAGAAGATATAGATGACGTTGGAATTAAATATCGGCATTTTTTTAAATCGTATGGGTTTCGAATATTCCCGTTTATATTGGCACGTTTTTTCAACGATCCTAAGTCGGCGGTTTAAGAAAAAACTATCGAAACCTATCGAGAACGAATTTAATACTTATATGACAACATAGATGGGATTGCCTTCGTTCTTTTCGCTGAATGTGTTAATAATGTGATCGCAGATGTTGATATTAATCAGAGTTTCTTTATGAAGATTAAAAAATTTATGCTACAAGCAATCAGCTACAAGCACTACTGCTAAGCACAAGCATGGGGTAACACCTTAATGGAGAACTGTGCATGAAACACACATTTATAGGCGCCTCCAAAACAATTGTTACAAAAGCGCCAGCGGCGATGAAAAATTATGAATTTACAAAAATTTTAATTAATATTAGAATCAACCAAAACATTCGGAGAAAAGAATAAAGCTGTTACACGAAAGTTATAAGAAAAGAAGTGGAGAAAAGGAAATCAGACTGGCCATCGAATGGAAAAAGAGGACATCTTGCCTGAAGGCCAAACGGCGGAAGCCGTAAGGATAGTTTTGCACACTTGAAGAACATATACATATGCACATATGTATGTACATACATATTTTTGTGCGTTTTTGTGCATGAATTTCTGAATATACGCAATGCATATAAGTTTGTATGCACTACATATGTGTGTGTGTGTGTGTGTGTTGGCGGAAAAGGGTATGCTAATGTAATGCAAAAACTTTGAAACAATAGTTGAATAAATAGAAGTTTTGAGTTAGAGAATGCTGCCCAACACGCCATTATTGAAGCCGTGGTCTACGCTTTGTGGTTTGTGGCTGTGGCAAAAGTTAATACCGCCAACTGTACCAATTAGTGGCGTTTGCTGTTTGCACTTTTGGCATCGGCGTGTAAATTCTGCCAAGTTGCGCAAAACTTGCTTCAAACTCATTAAAGCAATGCCAGTAGCTGCGGAAAGTACTACATAGCACCTTGCCAAACGCGATTAATGTATTCATACCCTGCAGGAAATGTACCTAACTATAAGCTAAGTTTAAGTTGATTAGGAAGGAGCTAAATGTCACTATTATCTGTACAGTTTCTTTGACGAAAGCTAACTATATTTCTATGGCGATGGCCGCGAAATAGTCAAGGGTGGTTACCTCTGCATTTGATGTAACTAACTTGTAACTAACTATTTTTGGACATAAAATATCAATAGAAAAAACAAAATATTTAAAAAATTTTTTTTTTTTTTTTTTTTTATATTTATTTTATGACATTTTATATTTGTTTACATATTCGAACTCCGTCAGACATAACTTCAAAATGATAATATGAAATTTCGATCTTCTTTTTATTTGTCCTCAATTCGGAAAAGTATTTGCGAAGTGCAGGATATCTTAATAGAAACGTGTTTAAAGAAAACAATCTCCTGCATTACTTGTCAACTAGTTTCAAGTTAGATTTTTGTAGCTAACTACGAGTTATATATATTCTATAGAAATCTCGCAAAAAGCTAACTACAAGTAGGTTATTTTTTATCAATTGATACATTTTTTCTGCAGGGTATGTACGCCTGTGTGTAGGTATTGGTGTAAAATACTGTTACTGGTAATAACCGGGCCATACCTAAGCGTGAAGGTGCACATTGCTACTTTCCCAAGTGCGTTTTCCAGCTGATATTCATAATTTTTTATCTCTATCATTATTTATGCGCCACTTTTATACCAGTTGCGAACTTGACTTAATAACCAACAATAAGAGGCGGGCTATATTTTAATGATTCATATCGTTCTTTACTTTCTTCGTT